TCTCTGGGGTACCCATTACTGAGGAAAATACGTTTCACTTTGTTCAACTTATCTTACCAGAACTCCATTAAGCTTCTGATGGTCAAACTCCTCATTATCTGATCTTCTGTCTATAGTTGCGCTGAGACTGGAAATAGAAAATTATCTCAGCAAATGATTTCTTTCTGAATGATTTCCTATTAAATATCCAGTTCGGGAAAATGACGTAAACATCTAGGAAAGGTTATCACTTTAATTTAAATCTTTATCAAATTGAGGAATTTATCTAAATTTACTTTTTGATATGACCAAGGTTAAAATTATCCAACCAGATATCGCATAATCGCTTGTTTTTAACTGTGACTTCTCGAATTCTCTTTCCAATCGAAAAATATAGTGAGAATGCAGATCCCATCAGTAGTCCAAATTTTGCCGTTGAATGTAAAATATGTGTCCCTTTTTATCAGGTTGGTCAATCTTGTTAGCGACTCCTTCCGTATCCGCTCTGTTTCTGGGACATCCAGCTCACATTTCCAAGATTTGCAGGGCGGTAACCGCTTTATCGCCTGAGAGGCTAGTATATAGAAAATCATAGACATGGAATTAGGAATAGAGAACGAGAAATTCGGTCGAGACTACAGATGGTTGGCTAAAAGTGGGCTCTTTTTAGCATAGGCATTGTCAGTGAAGTAAAGTCTTGATCACGAGATCTAGCCAGTGCACATGCCTAAAGGTGATAAGGGAATCTACAGTCTCTGCCTCTGTTATCCGTGCATCCCTCGAGTGGAGTTCTGGTCCTCTTTGCCTCGCGCCTTATTCCAGAATGCCAAGTATATCATTTTCCTATCCCTATTACTTTGTGTGCCTTTGCCCCCAAATGTTGTAGGTGTTGCTTTGCATACCATCTAGGTCTTCACACCTTCGATTATGCAACAAAGACTAATAGGAAGAATTCATTGATCTAATGAATAAATTATTTGAGTTGAGGATTAAAACTAGTTAAAATGGATAACTTAGTGAGCAGATAAGGCAAAAATTAGGGTGTAACTGTGTATTGGAAACCCATATACACAGGTTTCCTTCTCGTTTTATAATTATACTTATAGGTCTCACTAAATCCGCTCAAGAAGGCGCATCTAAACTAGTTTTTAATAAGCAGATAGTAAATTGTGATAGTGAAGCGGCGATACGAGGATATAGGATAAATGAATTCATGAGGCCAGAAGAAGAGAGAGCAAAACTGTTTTTCGCACAATTGGTCAAAGTATCGATTTCACCTGTTTCTTTGAGGAATTGAAGTATGGTGCTAAGACTGGCAAGGCTTATTGACGATTTATAGAAGTGGGTTGATCTCTTTGTCGCAACTTGGTCTTGTCAGGGCGACTTAGTAGAACGCACCTAGTCCGAAGTCTTCTGCCATAATAGTTATCACTTCCTAGCATCAGGCAGTAGACTTGTCCACTTCTATAAATACAAATGAGACTGCGACCATACCAAATGCCACACCATCCTGGTCTTCATATCTTATTGACGATGTTGGTGAAACGTCTTGGAATTCAGCAAGTCCATGGTCAAACCCGGGAAATTCATGGATACTGTAGTATGTTTTTCTAGGTCTCTGACAATACGACCAAGTTGCGAAAAGCGGTCGAATATTTATCATAAAACGAAAGGATGCCGCGACCATAGTAAAGGTGATACCATTCTGTTCTTCATATCTTCGATTTTATTTATACGGTCTAAGTACGAATTATAAATTCAATATTGATAAGAGGTCTAAATTTAGCATTCGTAAGTTACTGTAATCAGGACATCGTAAAATTAATGGATCTTTTACTTCAAACAATTATTTACTTTGATTACTGTTACATATTTAATAATAATATAATGTAAATATCTATTTACAGGAGGACAAGTAGATAGGCTACTCTACTCAAATTCTGATTTTTCCATCCTGTCAGCTTTCGATAAGAATGGGTGAACTTGTGACCAAAAATCCTTACTAGCTTAACATATCGCTAACACAGGACATTTAATGGAGTTATACATCGCAGTGTTTATCAGGCTACAGGGACTTTAAATTTTAACGTAGGAATAAGGATTTTATAGAATTAACCAAAATAACCAACACCTTGTATAGGGGGATTGAATCTAAAAAAATTGTACAACAACTATATTTTATTGTTGGATAGGCTTAGGTAGGGGGAGAGGGGGGTATGATGGTCCGCGGAGGCTTGAATAGCCTCGAATTTGGTTGAGGCCCTCATCTTGCATACACATTACATAAAGTAACCAACCAACTTATGGGATATCCCATTAAAACCACAAAATATATTTGAATAAGTGAGTGGGCTTGCAGTAAACTCCTTGACTTATTGTATTGACTTCTCGCTTGAGCGATGTCTGTCACATAACACACGAAAGCTCAGCACGTGTTTTGAGGTTTTGTTTTCAGGGTTCTATAAAATGCAACCAAATAGAAGTGGGTTGACCTCGTCACAACTTGGTCTTGTTGTCAGGGAGACTTAGTATAACTCACCTATTCCGAAGTCGTCTGCCATAGTAGTTGTCATGATTCCCAGCATCAGACAGTGGACTTGGTACATTCTCAAAGTACCATACCAGAGGCCACAACATCTTGGTCTTCATATCTGAAACCGAATAGTCTAAAGGTAAAGCTCAGGTCCATCAGATATGTTCGTTTATAATTAAGCTTTAGAGACTCATCTCATATCATATATGTTATCGTCAGATTCTGTAAGTTCTGTAATTCTTGTTGATATAAAAGGTCTGTTTAGAAAGAAGCTGATTTGTATTGTTATTTGCCGTCGAATTTTATAGGTGTGCCAATACTTTTTGATGTTAGACAATTATGTTTAAACGACTGAGTTTCTTGGACCCTTACCAATCCAGACTACTCGTTTTTCTAATGGGCAACTTCTGGTTCCCCAGACCTTTCTTGTTGGGATCGGAATTCACTTTTTCTTCTTACCGTTCTTTATGGTGTGTTTGGTTACACCCACCCAATTAGTCGCAGAAAACTATAGCCGTATCAGAACCAAGGTGTATCTAGGCCCTCATTATATACATGGTGTGGCCTCTGTCTTAGTCGTATTCTTCTTTGGATAAAGTGATTTGGCATCGGTTTTGCAACTTGTTCTTTTTAAAAAGACTACATTTATAAATATATCGCATTGGAGGTTATTGTTTAAAGCTTTTTAATAAATTGCCTATTCCTTGCTTATATATCTCCAGCTAAATTTATTCTTGTACGAAATACCTTTAGGATTCATCGTCTTTCAGACGACCTTGGGCAATGTCAGAAGCGGTGTCGTCGTCTTCAGACACAGTTATCGGATCTGCAACGTGTTTTAGCTCAGACCAAGGAGGCTGAACGGAAAATGAGCGAGCAAAAACGTGATTTGGAGCGGCGAATGAAAGCTGACGGAGAGGAGGTGGGGAAGAGAAATAATATTTTGTTTGTGTAAATCTGACTCCCGATTTTGTTTAAGCAGAATCATATATGCAAAAATATCATTATTCAACCATAAAATACTATTCCAAGATATCCTTATCAATTTGCATGCTGTTCTACTTTAGTCCTATTGACAATCAAATTTCTTCAAAATGTAATTGTACTTATAGTGTGTTCCAAACCAATTTGTTTCCCCATTTTTGGGTATCGTTTTCCCAATACCCTAGTTGCTACTTTATTTTATGATTTCTATTGCATTCGTTCTTTCGGTTTCTCATTGAATTATAGCTTAATTTTATTTTTTAGTTTTATTATCATCTTCATATGACTTAAAAATCATTCACAGGTTTGCTATATTTCGACTCTCAAAACTGCTGATTATAGTTTGATTCTGGTCTATTGAATATGCCATATTTTTTCAGAAGCATATTACTTTTGAAGGTATGAAGACCAAGGTGGTGTGGCCTTTTGTATGGTCGCAGTCTCCGTTTGTTGTACATAAGTTGTTTGACCTTGTTTTGGCAAATTGGTCATAGTAAGAAGACCTAGAGGAACTCACTTAGTCTGGAGTGCATAGTATGCATGATAATTTCAAGATTCGGACCGTGGGAATGGTACTTTCCCAGACGTTTCGCCGGTAATGTTAGTTAGAACTGCCATTAGCAGCATACTACAACTCTTTAAAACCACAAGTGAAGCCGATCATTTTACTAATTGTCTGCTAAACAATCTTTTTATCTCTCCTTACACTCTGGGCTACTTACAAATCCATTATCCTCATATCACTCCTTCACTATCATAATTCTGACCTTCCTATTTAAACGTATTATAGTGTGCCAATTTTAGCTGATCTCATGGGAACTCTCAACACCCTACGCTGGCTTTCTCATCCCCCCATCCCTTTTCAGCCCTGTGTTGGAAATGTTGATTAGAGTCTGCCATATTGTTACGCATTCGTCCTTTAATTGGTCTTATCAGAGCCTGCTTCTTGCCCCGTAGAATCCGTCTACTATCTCCCTGGTTCAAGTATTTCACTCGACCCCTGCCACCATATCTATGCTACTCGAGGCGTTATTTACCACACTGCCTCTGGGAGACTAAAGACCTCGAGCAATTTTCATGATCAAGCCTTTGCTTCATGGACCACGTCTTTGATCAAACACGTCTGCTGTTATGAAACTAGCTATAGTCTCCGTCCCATCTATCGTGTTTCTATCCATAGTGCCAAGTCTATGACTTATGATGCCCTAGTTACTTGTGTGCCAACTCACGAATGTTGTGGTTATACTTGTTTTGATTAGGTTCAGTGTAGCAGGAAGATAGCAGACTCATCCTACTGGGCAAGAAAGAGACTCTGGTAAGACCCTTGGAAGGAGGACTGGGTAATATCATGGCAGACTGATCAACATTCCCACCAAAAGGGTTATAGTTGATGAATGGGCTAAGAAGCCGGTGTGAGGTGTTGATAGTTATCATGAAATCAGCTCAAAATGGTAGACCATAATATATTTAAATTTGCAAGTCAGAATTGTGATAATGAAGGTGTGATACGAGGATATAGGATTGGTGAGTAGCCTAGGGCGTAAGAAAAGATAAAAGGATTGTTTAGCAGACAATTGGTAAAAGGATCGGCTCACTTGTCGCTTTGACGGATTATAGTGTGGTGCCAAAAATAGCAATGCTCATTGACGTTACCGGCGAAACTTCTGGTAATGTACCATCTTTACGGTCCGACTAAAATTATCATGCATACTATGGACTCCCGACTAGGTGCGTTCCTCTATGTCTTCTTACTAATTTGCGAAATCAAGGTCAAACAACCTCCATATTACTTTTAGCTACAATTCTTATTCCTATCTATTACACAGGCTCTTGTATGCTTTGGCTAATGGATGCTTAACATTAACCTACTTTGTTTATTTGCCAATTACTGGCTTTTCTATATTTTGCTTATTGCATAGCTTCGTAGGTTCCGTACAGAAACCGCCCATCGTGAGGCTCAGTTTACACATGATCGTCGGCGACTCGAGCGCGAATTATCCGGACTTCGACAACGCTTGACTCAGATCCTTCCTCATCCTTCTCTTGTTATCACTAGACCTATATCTTCCACAAATCGAACGGCTCAAGACCCGGTGGGCGATATAAATCGGGCGGACAAGAATATGGGTAGCCGGAAAGGGAGACTCTCGTCTTCCATGCTATCTTTGAACTGCTCCAATTTTTCTGGAAAAAGTGGATAATTTATTCTTAACATTTGTTTATTTATTGTTTATTATCGTAGTATAGCTCTAACACGTATACTCAGAATTAAATATATATGACATTTTAATCCTTTTATCGTACAAATTTCGCGAGGCCGTTCGTACGTCTTGCTTTTTTTATAATTTGACTTTATCCTTATTTTGTGTGCTAGTAGCAAAACTGTTACTAGCCAACAAAGGTTGCATATTTAGTAGGTCTCATTTACTGTTAATTCCCGCTCGACCTTTTTTAAGCATTTTGATTTACTTTATTATAATTTCTGAATAATTGGCCTATTTAAAACCGTATTCAAATAACATTTGCTAATTATTCATTGAATCCTTTCATTACTCTATTTCAACCCGAGTATGCCACTTTTATTTCTCACCAAAAATTCCAGTTCCACCAACTCTCAATGATCCGAGCTCTGGCAGGTCAACTGCAATAACCCTAGTAGCTTCAAATGAGGTACGCCGATTCAACCGAGTATCAAATGCGGAAAGGCGTCATAAAGATCGATCAGTTGGGCCCCCTATCTCATCAGCATCCTTAATCACATCCGGACGAGTCAATTGCCTTTTATCTGCTTCAGAGACCGGCATAGCTGCACTTCATGGAGCTACAGGTTTTTCTGGCCCAAGGAATGTATCGCATCCATTAGTAGTCGCAACATCAGGCTCTCTGGAGGCAGAGGTTAGGAAGTAAACTACTTGTTGACTGTTTTTCATTAGTAGTTGGTCTGATATTGATCGGTATCTTTTAGTTTATGAATCTCCAAGTTAAATCTTTTTCAGAGGTTTCAGTTTTCTATTACTTTGACAATTTCATTGTTTAAGTCCACTCTGGCAAAATTTTCGACCTGAGAAAGCCAGCGTAGGGTGCTGAGAGTTCTCATGAAATCAGCGTAAATAGCACACCATAATACATTTAAATAGGAAAGTCTGAAATGTGGTAGTGAAGGAGTGATATGAGAATATAGGATTGTTTAGCAGGCAATTAGTCAAAAGATTGGCTTCACTTGTCGCTTTGACGAGGTATAGTTTAATGCTAAGAATAGTAATGCTTACTGACGATGCCGGAGAAACGTCTGGGACTGTACCAAATCCGCGGTCCTACTCTTGAAATTATCATGCATATCATGGACTCCAGGTTGGGTGTGTTCCTCTAATTCTTCCTACTAATAGCAAGCTACGAAAAAAGGTAAATCAACTTCTATACAACGAAAGAAGACTGCGATCATACAAAAGACCACGCCATCCTGATCTTCATACCTTCGGTTACTATAACTTAATCCACGTTTTAATTAAGAATTGCAAGTGAAATAATCATGTTTTCGTCTGACCCTAACACTTGTCCATCTAACTGCCGTGAGCGTATATCGTATCTTGAAATGTAGGGTTGTAGGCTAATGCTGAAATAACTTATTTAGCATATTTACCTTATCTCAAGGTAGAGTTTATTGCGTTTCATAGTGCTATTAGAAAAAAAACTTAAGGAAATAATTTTTTTTGTAATTAAAAATATTTTTTCATTGTTTTATACATTTTTAGTATTCTTAATTAAACCCTCGTAATTAGCTTTTTGCTATATGCACGAACTTGATAAAATTTTGTATGACCTTGTTTTCGCAACTTGGTCATAATGGTAGGAAGACTGATAGAAACGCACCTTGTCC